CTTCCTGGCTGACTGAGGGCTGGAAGCAGGGTGGCCGGAAGCAGGGGGTGGGGCTTTGTCATGTGCCCCGCCCCCCGTTCCTCACCCGGGGGAACTGTGTTCCCCCGCGTTCCCCCCCGAAATGACCTCTGTATATTATGTATAAAAAATGTGTAAAATAAGATGTGTATTACAATAGAGTTTGTTGTATTTCATAGAAAATCTTCTTAGGTATCTTTGAAACGTCACCAGAAGAAATGAATTACTGAGAGGCAGTCTTTGTAAGGTTTCAAACTATTTTATTATTAATTATACTGGAACGATTTATATAATGTTAAGATTTTCAAATACGTACATTGTTGTATTTGTCTCACATCTTCGTTTGGAAGAAGATCCACCTTCGAAACGGCAAGACATTCCAGAGATCACCGTCATATTTTCTATTATTGTGTATATTGTTATTGTTCACTTTTCGTATTTTTATTGTTCTTTAAAGAACTTTATTAAGCGTCACCTTTTCACAGTTTTTTCTGATTTTTGCTACGCCAAAAAGCCCCAACACCCCCAGTATGAAGATGTTGGTGATCCAGGAAACAAGGGGTGGGGGAGAAGTAGGGAGTTGCTTGGCCAGACGCATTGGGAACAAATTTTGGCTCAGCAGTGCTGCTTACACATCCGAACCATGTCTCATTGGCCCTTCATGCCCCTCACTGGACCTCCATTGGCCCTTCATGCCCCTCGCTGGACCTCCATTGGCCCTTCATGCCCCTCGCTGGACTCCATTGGCCGTTCGCAAAGCAAAAAATGGTTGGTGATGCTGCTATTTTACACCTATCTGGGGAGCCGCCTGTCCCTGATGTAGGCCTCAGGGATTGTGAAGCCTAAATCTTGTGACAGGCGAGGAAGAACACTGAGAACTGCCACTGTGAGGGTTGCCAGCTCCGGGTTGGGAAATACCTGCAGATTTTGGGGGCGGAGCCTGGGAATGGGAGGGACCTCCGCAGGGTACCATACCATAGAATTCACCCTCCAAAGTAGCCATTTTCTCCAGGGGAACAGATCTTGGTCTGATGGAGATCAGTTATAATAGTGGGAAGTCTCCGGGCCCTACCTGGATGTTGGTAACCCTATCTGTGAGCATTAATTGGCGAAAACGCATGTCCTACATTCAGTGCCAGCTCTCGTCTTTGTGCCAGCATGCTATCCCTTGGAGGTAGGCCCGGCTGATGGGCAATTGCTTGAGGCTCTACTTGGTAAGCTTCGTGGGTGAATCTCCTCTATACTGGAAGCATCCTGGTACCCCGCTGGGGCCCTCCCAGAATGAAAACAAATACCACGTCTTCCTTCACCCAGAAGATGGGATTCAAAGTGAGGCTCCGATGTCAGCATCGGTGAGCATCAGTTCTGACGCTGCGTGTGCAGGCCTGCCCACGTGACCGGGCCTCTGTCTCCTCTACAGAAGCCAGAGCTCGGGGGCCCTGTCCCTTCCTGCCTTCGTTAATTTGACTCAAAAGTGCTGTCTCTGGAAGTGCCCCACGCCCTTGCCTATCCCCATTCTTCTGCACCGACACCCCCAAAGCAGCTGGGGGGAGGAAGGGCCGGGTTCAGCCGGAGTTCTGTGTTCCGATGCCGCAGTGCGGCCAACAGGCCTGGGGCTACTGTGGCGGAGACTAAAAATAACCCATTAGGCTCACCAGTGGAGCGTGCAGAGGAGACCAGGGGAGATGGAGGCAGGCAGACGGGAAAGAGGATGGAAGAAGGCAGGAGAAAGCAATCAGATGGTGGGGTGTGTGACTGGCGGTGTCCCATGGGGAAAGCCGAGGCGCTAGCCTAGACTGGATAAACCGGAGCAGAGCTGCGACGTCTGCTTCTAGCTGTACTTGCATGACATCAAGGCAAAGATGTCCTTCACCGACGATACCCTGGTTTGCCAAAAACCCCACGCTTTGGAAATCAATCGCTCTCTGCACTCGGAAACCATGTTTTGCAAAGCACACTCAAATAAATGCAGATTTG